GAAGGAGGAGAAATTTTGTACACGGAGCACCTTCTCTCCTGGGCCCTTATTCTTGAAACAGGGGAGCAGTATTTCCATGAGAATAGCTTTTCCACCTGTGTTACTCATAATGATATTATCATTTGCATGTCATTGAGAACGACAGAGAAATCGTTCTCACGAGAATGCTGGTCCTTGGTTTCAAGAATAGATACCCTGAGCTGGCACTCTGTACCGGATAAAGATCGTTATCCCTATCGCTAAGGCACTTGCTGTCTTCTCTGTTTCGGAAATCAATAGAGACGCCAAGTCAATAGAGATAGAGATGATATCTCTATTTGTTAAAGAGTCTCATCTCAGGGGTTCGATTCTCGTCTAAGAGAGTAGAGCTTCCCGAAATAACAAATTTTTCGTCTTTATCATTCTCTTTTAGTTTTCGATAACGTTGACAAGGACAAAACATGCGTTCTATCGGGGAGCTCTAAGGGCGGTTACACACGGACGTGGATGTCTTAATACATATACGTGCATACATCAACGTGCAACCAAGAACGTGCACGGCGCTTTTGTACAGACGCTCGCACAAAACTGCAGTCTTGCTATTCTTGCTACAGTGTTCCGAGTGTGCATACAAAATTGTACATTCAAAAACGCGACGGTATTTTGCATACACATTGATGTTTTTGTTTGCACGTTCATGTATGTGCGTACATGTTTTCAGACATCCACGTCCGTGTGTAACCGCCTTAATGCTCTACTCTCGAGCCCCTGAGGAAGGAAGTATTTCGGATATGCGGGATGATTAAAATGAAGCACTGATTCCCTTGCTGCATTAGGCGCCCGCCATAGGAAAACCTTATTATACCTAGAAAGGAATTAATTTTTATTTCTATTTTTTTTATACAAAAAATGTACGTGTCACATAAAATACGCTGGAAAAAAATAGTCTAGACTTGCCTTGGGGGGGGGGGCTGCAGCCCGGCAGCCCCCCCCTGGATACGCCTATGCTCATATCAGAAAAAGTTTAAAGGAAAGCGAATCTGTGTTTATTCCTATCTTTTTTTCTGCATGCCCCCCCCAGACAAAATTTCTGGCTGCGCCACTGGGTAACAGTGAGACATTCAAAATATTAGCTATTTCTCCACTTTTTAAATAAGTGTCGCCGCAATAAGACATTAGTTTTTTAAGAGGAGTGTCGGTTCTATTTGCAACGATCTTCAATTTTCAGTTTCGTCGACGGGTACACAAACTTTCCGTAATTTTTTTTGCCAACGAACTTTTTCGGCAAAATTTGAAAAAACGGTGATTTTTTCTATCACGCATGGTCCTTGAGTGATATAAGTGCATTAAGCCAGTGAATCTCGTCATTAATATTGAGCCGGTGAATGAATTATTATGAAAAGCTGTTGGTTAAATAGATGAAAAAAAGCAAGTTGCTACTTTAACGAATTTGTTCATTGATCCAATGAACCGAGAAAATTGATTCAGTGTTTCCGAGTTCATTGATTTAACGGTTAAATTCATTGTCGCAGAGTAAGGATTCTATCATTTTGACGCACAGAATTCGTTGCCTGACTTAAAGAACTTCTTCAATACAATGTACAGATAACATTGGTTTAATGAATCGATTTTTCAATTTGTTGTATGCGGTTTCATTGGCTTAACATATGAATGCATTATTCTAGGCTCAGTTGCATGAACAAGCATATTCATGGATTCAAGTAAACCCGTGCTGAACTGTGATTAAACCCTTTTTATTAGGTATGTTGTATCATCATCATCATCATCATCATCATCATCATCATCATAGGCAATCACTCGATACCGATATGATTATCTTCTATTCTATTCTTCGCCGATTGTGGGTTTTCTGATGGCTATATAAACCAATTCTGGAGCCGCACACTCTTCCACAGTCTTGGCACACCCAGTCTCTGACAGCATTGTTCCTATGATCTCTCGCTCCTTCCTGCAATCCCACTTTTCGGTCTCGTGTCTGCGTCGCTGTTCTTCAAAAGCTTGTGTTCTGTCGTGGACTTCTCGACGCCACGAGGGCCTGTCATTTGTCCTCTACTCCTACTTGCTGATATCGATGCGGCAATTTGCCAAAATTTCCTTTAGAACATCTATGTAGCTTTTCTGTTGACCTCCTTGATTTCGTTTTCCCTCTTTTAGTTGACTGTAGAAAATATGCCGTGGAAGACGTGTTTCGGGCATGTAGGCGAGGTTACCTGTGTTGGTGCTTGATGATAAGGGCTTCCATGCTAGTTGTGTTGGCCTCCTCCAAAACATTAATGTTCGTTCGTCGGTCTTGCCATTTAATCCGTAGGATCCTTCTTAGGCATCACTGGTGGTATTTTGCTAGGCTTTTTATGTGCCTTCTGTAGGTGTTCCATATTTCGCAGCCATATATAAGTGTTGGTATTACGACTGCATTGTAGACGCGAAGTTTGATCTCAGCGCTGATGTGGTGATTGTTGCACACTTCGTTCTGCATTGTTTTCTGTACACTATAGATAAAGAAGTTATTCCACTCAATGCATACCTGAATTCCGAATTTCTCCCAAAAAGAGTTGAATCTAACACCAACACAAAATATAATTTTCGGATAATTTACGATATACTGTCGATAATATGGAGTGCGGGTGTGTTAAATAGATTCTATACGTTAGCATGACGAATAATAGGTCTATATCGAAACTATAAAATTTATTAAATTAATGAGTAAAGTTCGTTAGTTATGAACGTTCATTAAATCACTAACACATACGTCAAGCTGATGAAACATATTCATTAATTATTGAACTCTAGGGCATTGATTCGATGCATAACTTCATTGACACAATGAAGAAATTTCCATGTGCATGATGAAAAAATTTTTTGGGATAAGGAATAATCATCAGTACCTACAATGAATGTAGTTTATGAACGATCATTCATAAAATCAAGGAAGAGTATCAATGGTCTTCAAAGAAAGTTTCTTATACTGATGAAAGTGTACGTTGGAACAATGAAAAATAAAAATTCATAGGTTTTATGAACATAAATACATTAAGGAACGAAGTAATTAGGCTATGAACACTATTTAATTAGATTGATGAAATATTTCATTTGATTAATGACAAAAAAATAACAACCGCCATTCGTCAATATTATGAACGATTTTCTTTTTCATTGCATGGCTTTGAAACTTTGTCTGGGTCATTTAGAGAAGTTTGTTTCAGTTTATTCGAATAAACCGCAGGGGCTCACATCTAGTGATTACGGGAGCTGGCATTCCCGAGGCACCCTAGCTGGATACAGACCTTTTTTCAACTTGTCTTGGGTCTGATCCCTTCTTTCTTCTTTCCTCGATCTCTCTTGATCAACTCTTCCTTCAGCCCCCGATGCTAGTAGAGCACTCGAGAGGGCTCTATTTTTTCAGCTATTCCTTCGCTTTCTTCAAATAAAAAAAAAAAAAACATGAATGATGACAAAGTGGAGAATGAGTTTACGGAGCAGAGAAGCCCCCTCCCCCCGACCATTAGCCAGCGACCGCAACGAAATAACGCATGGGGAGGAATGGGTAGACCCCTTTGTGAGGTGGGAGTTCATAACAAGATCGCCGCCGGAGAAACAGCCAAAGACGCAGGACAAGGAAGTGAATCCCTTTGCCAGAAGGGACTCCATTGGAAGGTCGCCAACTAAATGCACCCCAGCGACAAAGGGAAAAAATGTTGGCGCAGTTTTTATGAAGGACTCTCCAGAAAAATACATACAACAAAAGCCAGCAGGGAGGTCAATTAGCCTAGACAGGAATACAAAGAGGAAACGAGTGGAAACCTCGTTCAGCAAGGAAGCATCACTAATCGAAGATACAATGAAGAACATCGCAGAAATTGTAAAAGAACTAGAAAACCACATTGAACAAAATACAGAACAAACAAATAAAAGACATAACTATGCGTCCAAGAAAACAAGTTAACACAATGGTCGGGAAAGATGTCAAGGCATGGCTGGAAAAACACAGATATACAACAGCAGTAGAAATAGACAGTAATGACTGAGCAATACAAATGATGACAAAATTGACGAAAGAACAGGAAACACACACTAACGAATGGAGAAAGGAAAGAAAATATATCCAAACCCTAGATCTCTCTCTTTTCCTCCTCCTTCCGTTGTTGTTGTTGAGAGAGATTCTCTCTCTTTTCCTCCTCCTCCGTTGTTGTTGTTGAGAGAGGAACCGACTCAGGACAAAGTCATCAACTGAAAAGGTGGTCATGGTTGAGCCAATAGATTTGGACATGGAGGGGAGCATACGAGCCATCTATAAGAACAGGTACCCCGAACTGGGGGATGCTGATGAGGATTTTGCGGTCCTAGAGCAGATCTCTAGATGAAAAACCAAAAGTGAGACAGCAGCCCACCAAAAAATAGTGAAAATTGTGATAGGGGATGCAGCAAAAGACCTGTGCATGCAAATAGATCGCAAAAGGCACATGACATGGCCTTTCTAACGGCAAAGGAGGAAAACATACATTTAATAGTTGCGAGCGAGCCGAACCGACGACAGGTAAATAACTCAAACTGGATAGCAGACCTGAGGATAGACGTAGCTATATACTTCATGAACAAAAATATTAAAGTGCAAGGAGTAGAGAGGGGACAGGGAATTGTGGCCATAGCTTTTGAGAAATTTGACTGATAGATACTTTAATGAATATGGTAGAACAGCATAATAACGAGACTTTAATAATTGGAAATTTTAACTCGAAAGCTCCGGACTGGGGATCCCCTATCACTGATGCGAGAGGCCAAATACTAATAGAAGCAGTGGCAAGATTTGGACTAATTGCCCAAAACACTGGAGACAAGCCCACTTTTGGGAGAGGTCGATCGAAATCGCACATAGATATCACTTTCGCAACCCGGGCAATATCAATAAATATTCAAAGACTGGAAAATACTGGAAAATGAGCCGGTGTCCCCACATAAACATATTGTAATGGAGATAGACATACAATAAAACACAAACGTATATGAAAAACAAAGTTCAACTAGACAGAAATAAATTTAGAGACGTGATTGAAGAAGAACTCAGAAAACGACGAAGTAAATTGCAGAGTGCTGAAGAATTGCAAGAGGTAATGGAAATGCCCAAACAAACAATAGGAAGAAAAAGGACGGAGAATGTACCCCTACTGGTGGGATGAGGAAATTAAAAACGCTAGAGAGGACTGCATTAAAGCCAGGAGTGCTTACTATACAGAGATAGCTAGGGCAAATGAACAGGAAATGTCGGAGCAGAAAAAAGAGGAGTACAAGGAGGCCAAAAAATACCTACTAACAAAGCGAATTAAAGCAGCAAAAAACAAACACTGGAGGGAACTATGCGAAGAACTTAATAACGATATATGGGGACAGGGATACAAAATAGTGGCAAAAAGGCTTGTAGGCACACCATTTAAAATGACAAACGGAAGAAGAAGGGAAGAAATAGATACCTTTTTCCGAACAGGGAGGACTTTCTACCAGAGAGAATGCCGACTGAAACTCCAGGAGATTTCACTATGGAGGAAATGAAGAATGTAGCACAGAGGTGAAACCCGGAAAAGCTCCTGGCCTAGACGGGATTCCGCATGAGGTGGTTAAAGAGATGGTTAAGGTTGCACCAAAACCAGTTCTGGAACTTCTGCATGACCTACTGCCTTAGCAACTTGTCCCTACGACTTGAAAGGAATCCCAACTGATACTCATCCAAAAGCCAGGAAAACCCATGGAAGATCCAGGGTCTCACAGACCACTATGTCTCACAAATGCGGCTGCAAAGTTGTTTAAGCAGATGATAAAAGCTAGGCTAATAACAGAACTGGAGGGAAAATTCCCAATAGCCAGGAACCAATATGGCTTTCAAAAAGGAAAATCGACAATACAGGCGGTGAAACATGTCATAGATATAGGAATGAGAATGAGGACTGGAGGAGTAGGACGAAGATGGTGTGCACTGGTAACTCTAGACGTAAGAAATGCGTTCAATACCGCGTCCTGGGCAATAATTCTGAGAGAACTGCATCGCCGGAAGGTGGACCCATATCTACAGAATATAATAAAAAACGACTTCACGAATCGAAGTTTAAAAACAGAGGGGGACACTAGAGTTTTCACAGCGGGAATACCACAGGAATCTGTACTGGGACGCTCCTATGGAACGTTTTCTATAACCTCGTCCTCTCGATAGATTACGGAGATCTTATAGAGGCAGTGGGCTATGCAGATGACCTGTCGCTGGTGGCAGTAGCGAAAAATAGGGAACAGCTTATGGAGAGAATGGATGGGGCACTGGAGATGGTGAAGATATGAATGCGGGAAAACCACATGAAACTGGCACCGGAAAAGACTGAAGCGGTAATCCTAAGCGGAAAAAGGAACAGGGAGCAAATATATTTTAAGATTGAGGTACTAGGTATATATATTGGAGAAAACGTATACTATAGGCAACATATAGAAAATATCATGCTAAAAGCAGGGAAAAGCTTGGCCTCACTGAGTAGGCTGATGCCAAACATTGCGAGTCCTACATATGAAAAACGGCTTTTGTTATATAACACCATGCAGTCAATAGTACTATACGGAGCGCCCATATGGGGGAAAAATAAGGGCATTAAAAAATACAGGAAAAAACTGGAGAGTCTACAGAGAAAAGCACTAATTAGAGTAGCATGCGTATATACGACAATTCCTACAGAGGCGATTCAAGTAATATCTGGAGTCGCTCCCATTGACCTAGCCATAAAAGAAAAAGAGGAAATATACCAAACTGGAACAGGACACCTTGAAGAGACAAGGTAGAACAATGGAGAGATGGCAAGCCAGATGGAGTGAGATTACAACGAAGGCCCAGTGGACGAAAAAATTAATAGCAGATATAGGAGAATGGTGTAAATGTGAACACAGACTACTTTATGACAAAGGCATGGTAGTTTCAAAACATACACGCACAGGATAGGGAAGACCGATGAGAAATGTAGACATTGTGAGGAACGAGATACGGCTGAATTCACGTTATTCAATTGCCCGAGATGGCATAGAAGCAGAACGTTTACTAACATGAAATTGGGGAATGACATAGATAGTGACAGTATGATACGAATAATGATACAGTCGAAAGGAAACTGGAACATACTATAAAATTTCATAAAGAATACGATGACAGAAAAGGAAAGAGAGGAGAGAGAAGACCACAATATTATATAAACAGGAAGTCACAACAAAGCACACCTTTCGATGATTATGCCTAACAGCGGTTCCGAAGGAAAGATGCGAAAACAGGAGGGAAAGGGTTTTTAGTCGGTCGGCCACTCTAGAAAAAGAGCGCAACCCGACACTACCCCGACAAAGGCAGAACAACAGGCGCCACCCCAGTCGACAGAACACCAGACGGGGTGTCTGACATAGCAGATTTTCCAAAACCCCCCTGCAAAAAAAAAGTTCAAATGAATAATTATTTCTCATTCGATATAGTGTCTCATTACCCTGCATGGGTAACAATGAGACAAATGTCATAGTAATTGTTTATGTCAAATATTGTCTTTGTGAGTGGCTATAGAATCAAAAACATAATAATCTACTAGCTTAGATATATTCTCGAGTGAAACTGAAAAAAATTAAATAATTACTTAAAGGTTTATGCCAAAATATTTCCATTACAAAAAAAAGTGTCTCAGTGTTACCCAGTTTCCCCTATAGCATATCGTGGAGCTGTGACCGAGACAAAATCATCAAAAAAGATCAACGAAAATCAAAGAACAACAGGAATCAGCAAGTAACCGCATCAGCGTTTCTCAATATCATCACTAAACTGTTCATGAAATTTTATTCCAATTAAAGAAAATTCCACCAATAATAATTTCACCCCATTGAAATGAACCTGCGTTTTAGATCTTCCCTACGTTTTCTCTTGATCGCGCTATCGGATCGGGTCGTGAGTTCGTCATTTATGTTCAACTCCATACATTTTTTTATAGTTTTCCAGTAAGACAATAAAGCATATTTGTATCACGGTATGTGAGCTTCCAGCATTTTATGTCAATGTTCGTTCATTCGTTTTCACCCTTTCGACGCATACTCTACACTGCAGCCTTTGTAGACCTATAGTATCCCACTGTATGGGCCCCTTCCCAGCCATACTTGGAGACTAGATGATTGGCGGCAGCGCGGACGACCTACCGTCCCGTACAACTGCGGTCACCCATCCAATCTCCATCCCGACACCACGTTGCTTGGCTTAAGTAGGGCGGCTTGCGTCCTTTATCAAGAACGAACGTGCCGGTGTATTTCAATGTTGCAGAACAAAATTGTAGAATAACGTTAAAAATTGACATTTCCTTCAAGGTCCTGGTGTCCAACCCAGTTGAGCCATTTTCACAGTCATTTTGGAAAGCATGTTCAATCAGTTCCAGTTACGTTCAGATTAATCGTGACCTGTTTGGCCATTGTAAAAAGACATCGCATCAACCAACTCCATTTTGTCATCAACCCAAGCTAAGCCAAATTATTATTTAATTTCAATTCTAAGCTCTAGCAAATAAATTTACCAAGTTAAAATCCAATTAACTTGGGCAAAATTATGAAAAATGATTTCCAATCAAACACGGGTACACATTTCTGATTCACCCAAATTGAAAACAGACGAACGTGCAGCCAAAAACAAGGGGGCGCCGAAATGGAAAGAAACCAATTCAAAAGCGCGTTTTATGGGAACCAGGCGGCTTTTAAAAGTATTTGCCTTGTTCCCGATGGAGACCTGACACCCCTCGGAATTTAAGTGAATGAGTTCAACCGAAGGGGGCACACTTTCCTCCCTACACCTCTTTTGCATATGTAAGCCAACATTTAAAGATTGAGGCCGAATTGGAAATGGCGCGAGCTTAATGTGGAAATTTACTTCCTGGGAATTTGCGGAGTCAGGTGGAGAGACGTTGATTGATGGCTGTGCTTTCCGCGAACCTTTATCTTTTTGAATTAAATGTGCTCAAATTTATTTTGAATCGAAACTCTCCCTTTTAAGTTAAGTGGGTAATAAAGCAAAACATCTCAATAAAATAAAATGTCATATCCCAGAGAAAAAAATATAATTACAAAATATTACATCTTATCCTAAAAAACCAAATCAGATGTATTTTTCATTTTTGTAAAGTCTAGGAAAATTGTCGAAAAATACATGCATTGCAAAAAAAAATCCTACCCAAATGAACTTTTCAGGGATGATAGGGAGCGGGTGGGTGATCATAAAACCGAAGATATCACACATGGACCCTTCTGGCGTTTTGCGTTGAGTTGAAAGTGCGCCATTGGCGATTACTTGGTACCTATTGATTTTACAAAAAAATGTTTCAAATAAAAGATGTGCAACATTAATTGATCTACAATGTTTATCGAAAGACTTTTTTGATTAAGGGCCGTCTGTGGTCATAAGGGCCGTTTGAAATTTATAATGAAAATAAATTTTTTCAACCAACTTGAAAAAATTTTTTACAACACATATAACGTTTTTGCTTTATGAAGTTCTTACTCACCCTCCTGCCGTTTTTAAATACGGGTAGCTTGAAGTTTTTTTATTTTTTTACAAAAAAAATTTCTCAATGAAAGTTTTATAGGATTAAATTTCCTACAATTTTTCCTTATCAACTTTTTTTATAACACCCCCATTCAGCGGGGGGACACTTCCCTTAGGGAATTTTTTTTTTTCGAAAAAGTTTAATTCCAAAAAAATTGTTCTAAAATTATTCTGTATATGATTTGAAAAAAATAAAAAAATTGGTCGTACGGTTATTAAGGGTAGTTTTTCGGGATATACATACAGGGTGTCCCACTAAGGTCGACGAGGTACGATATTATGGAAACCAGTCATTTGCATAACTTGAAAACGACTGCAGATATTGAATTGCGGTTTGCGCAAAAATGTAGATATTTTTTTGCTCTTTAAGTACAGCAATGGAAAAATGATATCATGCCATTCGGATTTTTCGAGAAAATTAGAAAAAACTGGATCTTGGTTAAACAGCGCCCTTCAGAAGACGCAGTGGGATTTATCGACCTCGAACGAAGTGGTGTTCTCAATAACAATGACATTCTCTTTCAAATT